CCAAACACAATAGATGTTAAGCACCTATATAACATCCGTCTTTTACCTTATCTTTTGGCAACGACGCTCCGCAATTTCTTAGAGGAATTTTACACACGGATAGATGGGAATTGCCATACCTTAGAATTTGAGTTGTATGGTCTTATTTGTAATGACGGTTTTCCTCCACCATAAGTGAGGTTTTATTAATAAAATTTTCGTCGTTCCAAAAAAAAAACTACTTATTTGTTCGACGGGACAAATGTGTTAAAAAGGGCCTAGAAACTCAGCATGGCACAATTTGTCTATGTACGAACACTCGCGTACATGTCACAACTCATTAAAGATAATTTGCGAGGATAAAAGTGAATTGAGTTCTTTCGAACTCAAATGCTACATATTAGGGACAAATTTAAGGTTTTGATATAAGCCTCTGTTTGACGACACTATTGTTTTTGTGAAACAAAGTTTTCTACAATAACATATGCATTAAAAATTGTGTGCCTCTGAAAGTAACTGACCAAACTGTGTTTATCTCGAAAATTTTATTTATTTATCCTTCAATCTTTCTCCCAATTTCAGTTGGTAAATACGCATTTATTTAAGGATAAAATTGATAAGATACATCTCATAAAATCTTTAAACAATTGTTTCGTGCTGACATGAATACATCATGATGCAAAATAAATTGGTTGGATTTAAGGGCGTCAACATACGCTAAAGAAACCTTGAGGGGTTGCTCAATTGGTCAGGTCTTGGATTTGCTCTCCAATGGTCCCAGTTCGAGTCCTCTCAAAACTACTGATATGAGTGCCCGATCGTAAATTTTAGGGCCCTGTTGAATTAGTCGAGGTGCACGCAAGTTGGCTCGAACATCAACGGTTATCACAAAAAAAAAAATACGCTAAAGAAAAAGAAGTGACAATTGCACCATATAATTATTTTTAATTAGTTGCGAAGGCTAATTAGACCACGTACCCCATGATAAGTGCAACAACTATAGTCCATCAACTGGTTTGCTAAAAGAGCATCAGTGTAATGGTCCCCAAAGAGGCTGTCTTTTGGTTTGCTATATTTTTATGTCACGCTTGTGTACATACTAAATATTGAGTTATACTACACAAACCGAATCAATGACAGGTTAAAAAATAGGGAGGAAGTGTATCGACACATGATTTGATAAATTGAAAAAAAAAACACCCAATCAATT